AACAAATTTTTGCACAAAAAAGAAAAGATCCCGGTGCCTCCGATGCTACACCCGGTGTTTTTCACCGGGTGTAGCATCGAAGGAACCGGTAAACGTACCTATAAGTGCTACAATTTGTTTTTTTTCAAAATTTCGTGTATATTTTATCAAAACTGAAGGAGGAGTTCTCGGTTAAATGTACTCAAACTTCGATATTTTATGCAACAAAAAAAAACAAACAAAAAATATCAAAATATTAGATGGACCTACAAAAACTAATTAGTGTTAGGAAATACACATATATTTGGCTAGTTAGGACATCTCTAACGATGGGTCAAAAATCGATCTTCTGTAACTGTAATATAAGAGGTGAAGAGTGTTATAAAACACCACTTTAACCTTATTGTATATATTTTATACGATAATTATGTTTTATTTTTTTTGTAATATTTTAGTTTTAGATTAGTTTTAACAACTGTATTTCAACAACCAAATTCAAACGGCTATATTGCAATGACCATTTAAAAAAATATTCAAAATAATAGTATAATAATAAATAATGTTTCATAATAAAAAGGCTAAATTCGATGAACTAAATTTCAAACTACTTCGAACAACTATATGTTTCATTATGTAACATATATATTAACCCCAATCTATATGTGAAAGGGATGGGTTGTGACAAATTCATCATTTTCTATTTTTACACAATTCGTTAAATTGTAATTTTGGTTTCTCAAATTTAAGAAATCAAAGTTAAAATTAAAATTTTTTTTGCATGTTTGCATTTTGTTGTTGGAACTCTACTTTTTTGCTAAAATTGTGTAAAAAATGCAAAAAAAATATATTTGTCCGTGACTGTTGGAGTTGCTCTTATTATAGAGGATTAGAGGTTATTTGACAAACTCCGTTCATTGAATTTCGCCTTCATGATAAATCTATTTTTTTAATTGATATTTGTTACAAACCCAAATCACTCGAAGTATCAAAAATATCCATATTTAATATTACTGAAGATAACCATATTATAGTATTATAGATTTTTTTTTAAATATGCAAATCCCCCTAATTTCTCCACATCTCACACCCTTTTAGTTTATGTTTTTCCTTTATTTTTTTTTATGATTTTTTTTTATTTTGATGTAAAAAAGAAATTGGATATTTTTTATTTTTTAATTTTGTGTCTTTTTATTTTCGGTTTTTTATTTTAAATTTTTTTTCTTATTTATATTTTTCATTGATTAAAAAAATGGTTTTTTTTTTCTGTTTTAATGGTTTTTCTTTTTTCTTAATTCCGTTTTTTTTAAATGGTTTTTTTTTTTGATTTTTTTTCCAGTTTTTTTGAATAAAAAAGTGTTTTGTTTAATTATTTTTTTCGATTAATTTTTTTTAATATTAAAAAAAAACTCGAGCAGGTTTATCAAAGTGAAATCTACTATACACTTGTCGAAATCCACTATAAATTTGTTGAAATCCACTACAAACTTATCGAAATTCACTATAATTTTTTTGAAATCCACTCTAAATTAATCGAAATCCACTATAAATTTATCGAAAAGCACTACAAATTAATCAAAATCCGTGTATAGTGGATTCCACTTTGATAAACCTGCAGGATTTTTTTAAATATTAAAATAAAAGAATTAACTTTTCTAACCGAAATATAAAAAATAATAAAAAAACTAATAAACTAAAACATTTTTTATTAAAATAAAACTGGAAAAAAAAAATCAGAAAAACCATTTTATACAAATCAAAATTAAAAAAAAAAACATTAAAAAAACGAGATAAAAATAAGACCATTTTTTTTAAAATTAAAATGAAAAACATGAAAAATATAAATAAGAAAAAAATAATTTAAAATAAAAACGGAAAATAAAAGTGAAACAAAATAAAAAAAAAATAAAAATTAAAAAATAATCAATTTTTGTTTTTATCGAAATAAGGAAAGCCATTAAAAAATCAAAAAGAAAAGGAAAAACAAAAACTGCCGTGAGATGGGGAGAAATTAGCGGGATCTGCATATTTACCAAAAAAAAAAGTAATTGATATAAGGGTATAATTGTGAAACTTAAATATTTTTTATTAATTAAAAATATTTTGGACTTACCTTAAAAATCTGAATTTTTTTTGGACCGACTGTAACTACACATGTCTAACGAGGGGAGTTTGTCAATTTTTCTCCTTATTATAGCCATGCTTCGTTAATTAGGTGGATTGTGGACTGCCCCTTAAGATGGTGAACTTTTTTCAATTAAGGGTTGACTTGAGGCTGTCCTAGATCGATCGTGGACTGCCCCCAATTCCGAGTCAGAATTCATAACTTTCTTATCCTACTTGTTAGATTCATTTATTGTTTTTCTTTATTCTCTTCAATTAAAAATACTAAATTTTATTTTTTTATGTAAAATTAAATTGTTAAAAAATATAACAGGACAATATAAAAGCTATAAATTATATATATACGTTATAGTAGTAAAAAAGATTAAAATTTGAGAGGACGCCATGACCACTGTTGTCTATTTCTTGCACAAGAAAAAACAATCCTATGTTTTGTCGACATCTCAAAGTTTGCATAACGTACAAGCTAAGAAAGTGCAGTTTTATTTGAAGAGATAATTATTTATAAAACAAGGCCTACTTAGTTATAGCCACACATATCTTCCAATAATTGTGATATCATGATATTATTTTTGTCAGTTATCTTTTTTTCCAGTTTCTCTTCTATACACAATTCTTTTGTCTTATGATAGTGAAATGAGATTTCTCTACATGTTGGAGAAAAAGCCAAAAGGTAACCATCACATATTTAGTCATATTTCAAGCTAAAAAGACTGTTTTCATGCCGGTTTCGCAGCGCTATATTGGTTACCACTAATTTATCAACAGATATTGCATATACAAACTCATTTGTGTACGTCCTTATTAAGTTATAAGTTTTTATGCTTCAACTTGTGGTTCCCATGAAAACTATAGAGACAACTCAAGTGACGAAGAAAATATTAAAAAAAATGATATCGCTGGTTATGTGTATAGTGTTATTGCAAAAAAATCCTCGTGTAATAATCTTTAATTGTCGAAAAAATCTAGTGTTAAAAAAGCTAGCAAGGACCACTCTATGAAATATAGTCAAAGCCGAAAAAACCCCTAGCAGCTGATCGTGTGTTGCACACTCGAATTTTGCAACTGGGAGCATATTCTTTGACTGAAAAGGATCGAATTGTGCTTTATCACTGTTAGAATCCATTGGATTCTAATTATACAAGAATTAAATAAAACTTGTGCCACAAGTTTGCATATACCGTGAGCTAAAGAAGGGAAGAGTCCTTGTAGCTTTTAATTCTTTTAATTTGTCATTAATTGATTTTTAATAGGAATTATTCTTCTAAAGAGTTATTCTTATTTTAATGACCTATCTTCTACGTATATTAGCTAACTTATAATTAATGTACTTTCTTGTGTGCAGGTCTCTTATTGTTAGAACCAAAATTGGATTCTAATTATTCTCAAAGTCTTGGGCACAAGCCTTGTATGTTGCAGTGTGTTTTTTTTTAAAGGAAGAAGTGGTTTCCTTTGGTTTATATACTGTCATTAATTGAGATATTATTTTATATGGAAATTAAAATTAGATTAGGATTGAAAATCTTGTGATAAGGCATTATCCCATTATTAAATATCCTTTACGATTCTTATACGTCTTTTAATTATTGGACTCTTACAGGTTTTCACATGACGTATAAATAAGGGAGCAGAGCACAACATTCTGTACGCCTTTTTGTTGGAGATAAAAAATATATTTTTCTGCTCTTATTTTTGTTGCTCCCGGAACGTCTTTG